CAGTGGCCTCGCGGGAGACACTGCCCGTGTCGTGGCCCGGCCACACGTACTCCCCCGCGACGTCGCGCCACCGAGAGAACCTAGCTGCGACAGGCCGCAGCGGACCCCGACATCTGGGGACATCACAACACCAGTGTGGCCCATCAACCAGCCACCCACAGCCACTGTCCCCCACCCCACAGGTGTCCCCTCCTACCTGGTGCTTGGCCGGGAGGGACCCCCCGCGCTTGTACCAGGTGATGGTGGCCTGTCCCTCCCCGGCCACCACGCAGTCCAGGTCCAGGGTCTGCCCCTCAGTGACAGAGGACGCCGAGGACTCGATGCGGATGGGCGGCGTGATGGCAGAGGCTGAAGGGGAAGGGTTGGAGTGACTGTCCCCAGTGGTCCCCCACACGGGTGGGGATCCGTCCCCCAGAGGGTGGCACTCACAGTGGGATGGGTTGGCCCCGTCATCGATGGTGACGATGTGGGACGTCTCCTGGGTGACGCCCCCCGATGTCACCCGGCACACGTACTCGCCCGAGTCGGCCGCCGTCACCTGTGGGGGATGCGCAGGCGGCTGCCCGACACCTCGGAGGGGACAATTTGGAGACAAGTCAGCACTGCAGAGCAGGGGATGGGATAAACTCAAGGTGACCTCCCTCTGTGCCCTACCTGGTGGCCGGCGGGCAGAGACCCCCCGCGCTTGTACCACGTCACGGTGGTGGGGCCGGACCCGGCCACCACGCAGTTGAGGTCCAGGGTCTGTCCCTCGGCGATGGCCGAGGACAAGGACTCGATGTGGAGGGGTTGGGAGACACCAGAGGCTGGAGGGGACAGGGAAAGGGGACGTTTATCACCGAGGTGACAGCCGACTGTCCCCCAGCGCTGCCCTCTCACTCGCCACTCACGGCCGTAAGTAGGGTGCCAGCGCTGGCCTGGGCACGTGACAATGACAAGCACGCCTCCTTTTGAACGCTGCCCAGGGTCACCCGGCACACGTACTCCCCCGAATCGGCCACCGCCACCTGGGAGAGGCGTAGGCGGGTCCCCGACACCTGGGGAGGTGACACGTTGGGGACACATCAGTGCCTGTCGTGGGGCTGTGCCCTGTGGGGTGATGCCACCTCCCCTGTGTCCCACCTGGCTGTTGGGGGGCAGAGCCCCCCCGCGCCGGTACCAGGTGACATGGGGGTGACCCTGTCCTGCCACCATGCAGTTGAGGTCCAGGGTCTGTCCCTCAGTGACGGCAGCAGACGAAGTCTCGATCCTCACCGGCGGCGTGACACCGACGCCTGGGGGTGGCAGTGGGGTCAGTGGGGGCACCACAGTGTCCCCACAGTGTCCCCACTGTGTCCCCATGTCACCGCCCACCCCTGGTACCGTAAGAGGAGCCGGCGCCAGTCTGGATGGTGACGATGAGGGATGTCTCATGTGTGGCAGTGCCCGATGTCACCCGGCACACGTACTCCCCCGAGTCGGCCGCTGTCACCTGCGGGATGCGCAGGCGGGTGCCCGACACCTGTAGGGGGGTGACACAGGAGAGAATGGGGACACAAACCCCTCATCACCCCCAAAAATCCCTTTCCCACTCCAAAACGCTCCTCAGTCCCCTACCTGGTGCTTGGCTGGGAGGGACCCCCCACGTTTGTACCAGGTGACAGTGGCCTGTCCCTGCCCAGCCACGATGCAGTTGAGGTCCAGGGTCTGTCCCTCGGCCACGGAGGAGGACGAGGACTCGATGCGCACAGGGGGGGTGACACCAGCAGCTGGGGACAGAGATGGGACGGTCACCCCTGGCCCTGTGGCACTGTCCCCTGGCCCCTGTCACCTCCTGTCCCCACTCACGGTAGGCGCTGGCCCCGCTGGGCTGGATGGTCACCATGATGGAGATCTCCTTGGTGGTGGCCCCGCTGGTCACCCGGCACACGTACTCGCCCGAGTCGGCCGCCGTCACCTGCAGCAGCCGCAGCCGGGAGCCAGACACCTGTGGGGAGGGGACACGGGGGTCACTGGGGCCATTGGGGCTGGCACGGGGCCATCTAGGATTGCACAAGGCCACTCGAGTCTGCACGGGGACACTTGGGCTTCCCTGGGCCACCTGGGCTTATATGGGGTCATCTGGGCTTCCATGGGCCACCTGGACTTCCACAGGGTCATCTGGGCTTGTGTGGGATCACTTGGGCTTCCATGGGGTCACTTGGGCTTCCATAGTCATGGGGCCACCTGGGCTTGCCCAGGGCCAACTGACCTGGGGTCACCTGGGCTTGTGTGGGGCCACCTGAGTTTGCACAGAGCTGTGGGTCACCCCCATCCTCCCCCATTGGTGACATCCCCTCCGTGTCCCCTACCTGGTGCTTGGCTGGGAGGGTCCCCCCGCGCTTGTACCAGGTGACAGTGGCCTGGGCGGGGCTGGCGATGACACAGTTGAGGTCCAGGGTCTGTCCCTCGGTCACGGGGGATGACAGGGATGACGACTCGATGCGCAGGGGGGTCGTGCTGCCCGGGGCTGGGGACCGAGAAGGGTTAGAGATCACATCCACCACCACATGTGACCCTCTAAGGGACACTGGGAGCCTGGGAATCCGGGATGGGCACGCATAGGAACGCCTTCTCCAGGGAGCGATTCATCCCAGATCCCAGGACACCGCGGGGCAGTGACACCCACCCACGGGTAACCTCCCCTGTCCCCTGTCCCCACTCACGGTAGGCACTGGCCCCGCTGGGCTGGATGGTCACCATGATGGAGGTCTCCCTGGTGGTGGCCCCGCTGGTCACCCGGCACACGTACTCGCCCGAGTCGGCCGCCGTCACCTGCAGCAGCCTCAGCCGGGAGCCAGACACCTGTGGAGGGGAACTCGGTCAACCGGGCACCTGGCTCCCCACGGGGGCTGGGCTTGTATGGCCATTCGGCTCCACGGCCAGTGGTTAAATGGCCCCAGACTCACCAGGACACTCAGACTGAATGGGTCCCTACCTGCAACGGCTACTTGACTCGCGTGGTTCATGCACACAACCTTATGGCCACCAGGCTTTGCAAGGGGGCCACTTTGACTTGCCAGGCCACCCGACTGCACAGCGTGGGTCAACCTTATCACCCGCTTGACATCCCCTCCGTGTCCCCTACCTGGTGCTTGGCCGGGAGGGTCCCCCCGCGCTTGTACCAGGTGACAGTGGCCTGGGCAGGGCCACTGGCGATGACACAGTTGAGGTCCAGGGTCTGTCCCTCGACCACGGCGGAGGACGGGGAGTCGATGTGCAGGGGGGTGGTGTTGCCTGGGGCTGGGGACCAAGACAGGAGGGTGACACTGGTGACACCAGTGACCACGGGGGGCACGTGAGCCATGGCTCGGTGCTGAGGCACACGGGGCTCCCTGCTGGCACTGCCCTGTTGTCCCCACTCACGGTAGGCGCCGGCCCCGCTGGGCTGGAT